AACAGAAAGAATTCGGAATCCTTGCAGGGTCGTCATCTGAAGCCCCAGACAGAAGAAAGCAAAACAAAACGCTGGTTGCAGTACCTCGTGGTGCTACTGTGGACCGTGATTTGTAACACCCCCTTTATGATTCAGGGACACCTGCCTGTCTAGTAAAAGAGTGACCATGTGGGGAGCGAAAGGAATGGGGGGTCAGGACAGAATAGAAAAGAGGCCTGTACCCATGTCTGTAACATTATACCAAAGCGAGGTGGTGGGTCCATGGGTGTTTTTAAAATGTCGCTGTGTGTTGTATTATTCCACATTTTAAATATTTCACGATAAAGAATATCGAAGGCTCATTTACTCTGGGATGATTCCCTAGCCACATCACCATCAGAAGCAGCATTTTGAGCGATGTCTCAGGAGTGTAATGGTTTTCTAAAGTCAGTCATGTCTTCCAGTAAGTTAACAAGTCAAAATGCTGTTAATAAGTCAAAAATAATGCTTGAGCCTGCCCAGAGCAAACACATGTTGGGAAAAACAAAACAAAACAGCACTTACCCAATAAGCAGAGATAGTTGGGCTCGATTAATCTGGATAGCTTCGTGACTTGATTGAGGATGTTGTAAAGCTCTATTGGTTCACACATAACCAACTCAGCCATCCTACTGGGGAGAAGACACAAGCTCAATCTCCATCTATTTAGATGGCTGCCACAAAGAGCTGTAACATTCATTCCGAAGGTTAACTCCAAACACAGACAAAATAACAATGTGAGTGACCAAAAGAAAAGGTTCCAAAAATTGACAGTGAATTGTGAGCCAAGGATGGGAGGAAAAGTCAAACAATATGTCGACCATACAAATACTTCTTAGCACCTACTCTAGGCCAGGCACTAGATACAACTAGGATAAACAAGGTCTAGCTCATGAAGTCTACGGTCTGTCGTGGAAGGCAGACATTGGACCAAAGGATTGTGCTGCTGAGCAGGCGTCTATTGTTGTGGGAGTCATGAATGGGAGGTCCTCATCCAATTAGAGATAGGAGTTGGGGCTCTCTGAGCTACTTAGCTAAGACAGGAGGGCAGGCAAGCCTCAGCCAGGTGAAGAAGACAAGAATATCCTCTCCTAGGCAGAAGCAGCTTTAAACACATAGGGGGAGCCTGGACTGGCTGGCGCTGACAGAGTTAAAAGGAGGAGGACATGCGAGGACACAGGGCCCCTTGTGAAGAGCTTGTAGGTTGTTAGGACTGCGGCAGTCACTGAAGGGTTGGGTCCCTGCTGCCTCTTCCTCAGGGATGCCCCCTCCCTTTTCTCAGGAGCCTGCCAGGAGTTGCAGATCAGAGATTCTGGAGGCTCATCAAAGGAGGAAGTGGGGAAGCAGTCGGGTCCATAGGTCATGTGTTAGTCTGGGACTAGAGAAACGAATCCAGAGACATCGTGTACGTGTAAGAGAGTGTGGGATACAAAAAGGTTTCTCCCCAGGTTGTCATGCTGTTTGCCAGCACGGTGGTGAGTTCTGCTGCTTAGAAGTTACAGTATATACTCCTGTATAAGCCGAGTTTTTCAGCATATTTTTAGTGCAGTTTTGGTGGTAAAATTAGGTGCTTTGGCTGA